TTTTCTCTACACGGACAAGTTCTTTGGCAATGTCTCCTCCATATTTCAACACATCTACCTACGCTCATATCGCGGACTCTGCCTTTATTACATTATTCATCATTGCGGACCGGTGGGGCGTGTCAGTGCGGCAGCGTTTGGTGTCAAGTTCTGCACCAGTTGTTGAAGCGGGCAAGTGTCATTACTGTATTACATCCTTCGTATTACTCGTTTTCTACCACTTCAACAAAAAGGCTGAGAACGGCTTCAACAGTGTGCACACTCATACTGGCTGACACGCCCCACCGGTCCGCAATGATGAGGACTGTAATAAAGGCAGAGTCCGATATGAGCGTAGGTAGATGTGTTGAAATATGGAGGAGACGTTGCCAAAGAACTTGTCCATGTAGAGAAATGAAAAACGGCGGAAACGTCTGTAATACGGCCCCTCTAGCCACAAGTAATTGCACTAGAACCGCGTTTTTATTGGCTCCAGCGAGCTGATTCCTTATAATAAGCCCTATGATTCCAAAACAACAAAGGGGCTTCTATTTTGTGCTTCCCCCAACGTAGCACCGTTTTTCGCCGAAGGACGGGCGTAGAGGGGTGTTTAGGGTGGAGTCAGGGGGAAATAGGAGGTGTCACTGTAAGAATTTTGCGCCCCAGCGCCTTCGATTTACAGCTTTCAGCCGCTCAAATGACACAAGGTCCACACTTAGTTCCAATGCACGACTTCATCTTCACGAGTTATTGCAGACCGTTCTCTCAAGGACAAACTGTAAACCACCGTAGATTGAAACATTGACGTGCGTTGGGAAAATGGGTTCGCAATTGCAGTAGCGTGTCACTTTTCTCAATCATAGTGTAGGAGAACGGTTTTGGAGGGTAGTGATGTTCAGATGCCCTTTCCATGCTCCACCCGCGCTTCCAACGGGGCGCCTAGCCATAACCAAACGCGTTGCTTGTCTGCGCTCTGTCACTTCTGATTGTTCTTTACCCCTAAGTACGTGTTCCGCTGCGGTACCTTGGTCTCGATGCAAGTGCTGCGCATTAGGGATAGCGCGGTCAGAGCATTGGAGACGGCACTTGGGTACTATTAGGATGGCCCATAAGTAATGGCGTTTTTTTTCTCACACAAAGTTTATGGAAAATGACAATTATTCCCAATGTATTCTACACTGTTTGATAGATAGTTTTTTCCGCTCTGTAAAGCTATGTAATTGCCTTCATACTTCACTTGGTTTCTGTCGATTTTTATTTCTCTGAAGTAGAGTGTCCGGTCGTCACAAAAGTGAGTTTTCGACAACAACTTTTGCACTTTATCTCGGCTCCCGAACTACAGAAGAAACCAAAGAGTCTTAAGACAGCTTGAAGTTGGTTCAATCAATTAAGAGGTGGGAATTGGACTTTGTAAATGTTCAGCGCATGGCGCGCCCTCTTGGAGGGCGCGGCTGCCTGCAAAACCCATCCACCAACTTTCGAACGTCTAACATCAACTGAGGAAGGTAGTTGATAATGAAAAAGGAAGCATTCCATGACCTCTAACGATTCCTCAATCTTTGGCATGAATCTCCTTGAATAAGGTAATTCCGTAAGCTCTCAGTTGGACACAATAGGGCATTAGGTTCGATGCTTGTCTGTGAGGTCGAAATTGAAATCTTCGAATCACTTAAAGTATTATTAGCATTCTAAGAGAC